ATTCAGAAAAAATAAACCAGTTTTATTTAAGAAAGGACTTGTGTCGCTAAAGTTTCGTCGGAACGAAGTTACGGAAAATAAATTAAATAAAAAAACGGAAACGTAACAGTATTGTTGAACTGAGCATGTGAGACGTTCGTTGTTATAGCGCGACTCATGAAATTAAGTGTATCGCAAAGTTATATTCAGAAAAAATAAACCAGTTTTATTTAAGAAAGGACTTGTGTCGCTAAAGTTTCGTCGGAACGAAGTTACGGAAAATTAACTAACGAACGGAGACGTAACAGTATTATAGAGGTTACAACCAATAAGATTTAATGAAACTAACCTTTAAAAAAGGAATAAGTCATTGCTTACGGAAAACATAAAACACTAGTCGTTTGCTATTAAGATTCGCATAGATTACCACTACACAAATCGTGAATTCACTTAAAATAAGCGTACTTGCACATTAGTCCAAGTATCCAGCATAAAACTAATGGAAGTTGTAAAAAAAAAAAAAGTAATAACAATAACAAAAAGAAGAATATCAAAAACATACTAGCCGTATGAAATTTAAAATGATCTATTGAAATTTTAGAGTTTATTAGACTGTTAAAAGTCTTTAGTTGCATTCACGTAGGAATAAAAGCAGTGTGATTTTGCTACCATGCCAACGAAGAGCTTTTGTTACTCTATGTCTATGTAGAGTTTAGTCATATTTTAAAGTTTTGTCAGAATATAAACTTCCTCTCGTTATATTGTGTAGTGTAGTAAGATGGCGCTTTTGTGTCAATATGTTTTTGTTTTATATTTATATACTATAGTGATCTTTGAAATTGAGGGTGGTATTCATTCATATAATATTGTTAAATACTAGTATATAATAAAGCGTTGTAGAACGAGAAATGTATAAAGGTATTTAAATTTTCTGTGTTATATTATGAAATTGAAGAAAACTGTTGAACTTAATTTTTAAAATTAATTGAATTAGGCAGTATCACAAAATTTATTATTTAGATATGCTTTTAAATTCAATTTCAATTACATTTTCAACAGTTAATTTCTTTTCGAGTTTTTCACTTACCACTGCATTGTAAGAGGAAAATTTGATAACATTATCAGTATCACTAGATTGACACTGCTGTTGTCTGAATTTTGGTCTACTGAAACCTAGGAGAATATAATTTAAGAATTTCATTCATTTCTGACATTAATAATACCAATAGTATATAACTTTTCTTTGGGGGCGAATTAAAATTTAATATGGTTATTACTTTTTATTTTTTTCATATAAAGTTATTGCTAAACTCTGTGTTGTTTTGATGCTAATTTAATCTGAGATTAATATAATTTTCTTAACTTAGTAATCACACTACATTTTCATTTATATCTTTCATTTAGCCTGAATAATAATAGCAGATCTAGCATTAGTGCCTTGATTTTAATTGGACTACTAAAAATTGCAGTGTCATTCAGCACATGAAGGTCACACCCACACCTAATTCAACAACCTTCCAAATAGATTACCAGCCCAAACTAGATATAATTTGTCATATACATAAGTTTCATAAACAAAGTTTTTTATTAAAGTGCAATTTAGATTTGTAGCTTAAACACATTTATTATTTCTAATGTTTAAGCTTGTAGTTGTACTTTAATGAGGCAGGAGTAAGGCAGAATAAAATTTGTAAGGTATTGTGCCTTTTCAAGGAAAATGTATGTTTGAGAGGGGGGATATCATTAACATGAATAGACTTAACCCTGACTTTAATCATTCGAACCTCAATATGCCTTACACTGGCAGTTTGTTTAACCTCCCATATAATCTCACTGATAGAACAAAGACTTGTATGTTGGCCTTAATTGCATATGTTGTGGTTATAGACCCAACCAAAGGAATCTATAATTGTATTTAATATAAATTTCACAGATTATTCATTTTATGAGATAAGTAATTTACATCTCATATCACACTTTTAATGTTTGTAACTTCAGCATTTGTCCTACTAACTAGTATAAGTATTTAAGGCTAGGTGAGAAAAGATTATTAGGCTCAAAATAATCACTCAATAAAGAAGTTAGCTCAGTCTAAATAAAACCCCTCACATCCATAAAGCTAAGCAACAACACGTAAAGAAATTCAAACCACCAACACAAACCTCATTCCATAAGTTAATAAAATAACAGGAAAACAGGTGGTCCAATAAACAGAAAGAAATGGGTTTCCAAAGTTCCATAGCTTATACTATACGTTATAGTAATTTCCTCCAATATTTAGGACTTCATCTTCAGTCTTATCCTTCCACCACTCTAACAAACCTTCCATAAGCAGTTTATGTAATCCCTTTAACTGGTGAAACTAACCATTGAATAAGGTCAGATAAGAGATTATTATTTCGGTACTATTAAACATACATGTGATAATTAATCATTTTTTTAACAATTTTAATTTTTATTGGGACCACTGTTTAAAATACTTTACTGCTTTTGTTCTACATGTGGATTTTAAAGTTTTGCTACACAGAAAATCAGCTGAAGAAGTTTTTATTACTATAACTAAATAATTGGGGTTACATTAATGATATTGATAAAGGCATAATTAGTAAATTAGTAGTATTTCTGATGACATTAAACTCTTGGGTATTTCTAGGTGTACTGAGGATGTTGAGGTATTATAGTATGATTTCTATCAGTTGGTAAGTTAGACAAGTACTTGTCAAGTGATCTTTAGTTATACTGAGTGCAAGGTAACCCATTTAGGTTATCATACTTTGGGTCACACATTTAGAATATATAGGAACCCACTGAATATTATGACTGCATTAAGAAAATAATCTAAACTATTGGTCAGTTAGATTGGCTGATTATTGTTCTAATTGTGTCAGAAACCATTATAAGAAGTCACTCATAAAATAAATTTGTTGTGAGAAAGTTTTCTTGTATTTCTACTTTGTTGAACAATTTGACAGGACCTTTGCTTTGTTTTAAATTAGGACATTAAATGTTAATATTTTTAACTTTGACTTTAAGAAAAATTTTGGTTGAGGTGCCATATAAGAGATAAATTAGTATGAGATTGTCAGAAAAGTAAATATAAAATTGGTGATAGGAAGTGAAGAGTAATAATAATAATCAGTAATTTTTCTGATTGGGAGAATGTGATTTGGATAGCTTTCTGGATGGTGATATTTAAAATATTGATGATATCAAGATGCTTGTGAGAAGATTTTATACAGAAAGCTTCTTTTATCCAAAATAACCCTGACAGTCTTAGTGAATGGTCAGAAAAGTGAAAGATTAGATTTGATATTGAGAAATGTAAATAATTATGCACTTGTAGTGTGGAAATTTGGAAAGGGTTTACTCTTTCTGAAGTAGGAACATCAGTGTTGATAAAATGGAAGTGTTTAAAGTGTTTGTGATAAAACCCTTAAACCTTCTACTTAGTGTCTAGCTGTGACAAAAAGAGCAAATAGAGTTCTTGTTTCTACTTATAGGAACTTTTAAAAAGATTATTCTAGTGCCTCCTTACTACAGGAAGAATCTCAACATGATGAAACTTATTTAAGTCAGTTAAACTATGAAGAAAGACTTAGTTTTCTTTGTTTTCAGAACACTGAAAACCAGGGAAATTTAAATTGTTAAATATAGAGAATATTGATAATAGAAATTATTTTAAATTTCAAGTTATAATTTATTTAATAGTGATAGACTTTTTAAGAGCAGGAGTGGGGTGGCTTTTTATTTAAGGATTGAACTACGGCCTGTTAGGATTGAAGACAAAAATGGTAGTCAAGAGGTTGAATCCTTATGAAGTTTCTTGAAGTGATTCAGGATGGATGTTATATACGAAATGGTCAAGGAGCCAACCAATAGGATGGGTTTGTGGGTCATCTTATTGTTACCGCTAATGACACTCTGGCTGCAAGAGTTGAAGTGGGCAAAAATTTTTGCAAAAATGGTCATTGCAGTACTTGGTTTGATGTTCTGTCATGTGTTCAAATAAAAAGAAAAAAATTTATTTCCTAATTTTTAGAAAGCCAATTTTGAGTTCATGAGACAAGATTTGTCATTAGTGAACTGGGACATTGAGTTAAAAGATGATGTGGGAAACACTTCAAAATAAATTGTTTTAAATTCAGTATAGGCATGTTCTCAAAAAATGGGGAAAAGGTAACAGTGAAGATCAAATGTAATTAGAAAAAATTGCCATAAATTTAAGAAGTTTAAATTGACAGATAGGATAGAAGATTTACAGAACTGTAGGAAGGCTAGGAGTTTGATTAAATACAAAATGAGGAAATCCAGAATACTTCACAAGAAACAACTGGCTGACAATGGTAAAACTAACAACAATGATTGTATTTTTTTAAGTATTTAAAGGTAAGTAAAATGTCATAAATTGGGCCCTTAAGGGACACTGATGGGAAGGCTATTGTTGAAGACATTGAGATTGTTGAACCTTTAACTTTCTTTCTCTCTCTCTTTTTTTTTTAATAGAGAAGATACTAGCAGTGTTCCTGACACTGAGCTTTCTGGAAAATATGGTAATTTACTTGAATCATGTAAATACAAACCCCTTGGTGGTAACTATAAAGACTGAGAGGTTAAATATGGTAATTTACTTGAATCATGTGAATTTAAACCCATTGGTGGTAACTAGAAAGACTGGGAGGTTAAAAGTAGATAAAGCACTAGGCCTAGAAAAGTTTTTCCTCTGTTTTAAAGGAGGTTAATGATCAAATATGTCAACTTTTCTCTCTTCTCTCTCATTTTGGTATGTTAATATGTGTGAGCAAATGCTTGAGGATTGGAGGTTTACTTAACTCACATTTTTAAAGGGTATAAGTTTCTATGGAAATTATGGACACATTAGTCTTACATCTGTAGTGGGGAAAAATCTTAAGAGTCTGACAAAAGAAGATGTACAAAATCATTTTATGAAATGCAATATTATAAGTTAATGTCAATGTGGGTGATCATGTCTTAATAATCCTTTTTTTAGGGCTTTACTTGTTACCTGTTTGATGGAAATAATGTGCACTTGGTGTAATTAGATTTTCAAAAAACTTAGCTGTGGAAATCGCATGAGTAGGAGAGAAAGATCAATTAATTGAATTGTATGGTAGTTGGATAGGGGAAAGATAAGGTTATTAACAAAGTCTAGTCAGATTGGACTCTTGTTAGTAATTGAGCATTTTGGGGGTCAGTGCTTGGGACTTTTCCTTATCTACATTAATGATATTAAATTTTGGGATATATATAGCTGTATTGAGGATGTTGAGGTACTAATAATGGTTTCAATCAGTTGGTAAGTTGGTCAAATATTTGTCAAATGTACTTTAATTATAGTATATGCAAAGTAATTCACGTGGATTCTCATAAATTTTTCAAGCATTTAAAATAATATGGGAACCAACTCAATAGCATGTCTGAAGAAGAGAATCTTTTCATAGTAGTGGATATGTCACTTGGTTATCAAAGCAGTGCTCTTTTGTTAGTAGTAAAGCATATAATTTTAGAGTGTACTTAAAGACTTTGGTTACAACTCAGAAGAGCTCATCTCTCTTCACAAATTACTAGTTAGGCTTCACTTGGAATACAGTGTACAGTTTTGGTCTCCTTTTCTAAGAAAGGATATTGATTTATTGGAAAAGGGCTATCATGATGATATCATGGATGGAGCAGTTATTTCACAGGGATAGGTTAACACCTCTTAACTTATTTTCTCTTGACAAAAGAAGGGGTAAGAAGTGATCTTATTGAAGTTTATAAAATTATCCAAAGATATTATGAAAACTAGAATGAAAAGAAACAAGCACAAGATTTGAAAAGAACAGGCTTGGTTTCAGTTAAAACAGTTTTTTATTTTTCAAACAGAGTAATTAATCTATGGGATCAATTGTTATTTGAAGTAGTGGAAGCCAGCACTTTCCAGGAGTTTCAAAATGGAATTGATGATTTCCTGAAAAGCAAAGAATGGGTATAAATTTTTATTTTTTCCAAGGGTGTCCATATGTGCAAGGACAACCTTGAATGACCAAAAGGGTCCCTTGTTGTTCCTGGGTTATCTTTTCTGAGAACCAAGATATTTTTCAACAAGTGTTAATGACTTCATCTCTAGGTTGCTTTAAAGTTTAAGTATCATGAAGAAAAGAGAATAGCAGTCATAATTACTTGATTGAAAATAAACTTTGTAATCATTATTTTAAACAGCCTAATGCGTGTGTCAAAATAAAAAATAAATTGTTCTTTTATGATACAGCACTAAATAAAATATTAACTAGCTAGTTTTAATGGGAGGTTTGGTTGAGAATATTTTTGCTAACCTAAGGAAGAAAAACGGTTGTAACGCTTGGAGCACATTTTTCAAATTTCACAACTTTTTAGGATGACTTGAAAAATCACCAGATGCACCATATTCATCCATATTATGGATCATATATATATATTTTTAAAATGGTTTTTATATTAAATGGAATCAGTAGAATGTCTCTATGTAAAGAAAATTATTAAAACTGGTTGCAGGACTAAATAATATATTAAAAACTAGTAATATTTGTATAACAGTCTTACTTCTGTTTATATATTCTAGGTTGAATCAGATGTACTTTCAAGTCTATACAATTGTATCTATACAGTAACCACATACCTACAGAATGTCGACTGTTGCAGAAAACTTTCCATTTCGGGATTTGTGCATGTTCTGTGAGAAAGTTGCTAACCAACGTGGTAAGGATAAAAAAAGGAAAATTCTCAGTCAACTGATTTCTGAGTGGAGGAATAGGCACAAAGAACTTCACAAAGATGACAAAAATACAGTAATAATTCTTTTTACTGCTATAATTAAGGTTTAATTTTAAAGCTAAATACTTTTTTTTTAGACAAATCACATAATTTTCAATTATTTGAAGGTGCTTGCATGTTATTTAGATATACATAAAATGCACATCTGTTTATCATTTTGGATTTTCATATGTAATATTATTAGAAAATGTTTTGGAATAAAATACTTTAGATGGTGCAGGTTTCATGTATTAATTGTGTTTCATAAATTTAGCACTTAACACTAGCTTATTTGTTAATAAAATGAAAAATTAGTCTTTTAAGTTACACACAAAAAAAATTTTAGCTAAATAAAACAAAGCCACAAAACATTTGTAAAAATTGCAATAGCACATTCAGAATTTACATTTTATATATGTTTCAACTTTGATGGTCAACTTCAGTGATAATCTGCACAACAGGAATGTATTTGTTTTTGAAATTGATGTAATAAATAATATTTCCTGCTCTTGTTTTTTCTTTTACTAGACAGACTCATTTTTTCCTGCAATGCGACTTCTATTGCCACAGTGTGAGAGAGAGAGAGCAGCATATGGAATGAAAGAGGTAACAGACAAGTCCCTAGCTAGAGCATTATTGGAATTGTTAAATAACAATATTATAGGATTAGCCTATTATTAAATTATTTCAAATTGTTTTGGCATGTCTTATAAATATAAGGAATTTCATTATTAACTTCAAAATATCAAGTGTTTTAATTTCATGACTTAGTAGATAACCTCTAACAAGCAGTCTTCAGATCTGCTATGTTAGTACTTAACACATATACTACCAATTCATCCAGTTAGTAATCTTTAGCTCTCTGTAGTTATGAGCACATGAATAACAGCCAATCTCAACAAACACCAAGATCTTGACTTTTTCTTTATTTTTGATTTAAAAAATTAAGAGGTCTTTTTGTTTGCATCTATAAAGGTAGAACATTGATATATGTATGCATTTGTTTTACCATATAAAAGGATAATTATTGAGAGTTTCACATATATGAACATATAAACATTTAAGATAACTTACAGCTTTATCACAGCAAAGTGGTGTGTTTTTTGTAGCACTTTTTAGCAAAAATCTTGATAAAGGTCCAGTGTTTAAGTGAAGAGTCAGAGGATTCTCAGAAGTTGTTGAATTATCGAGCTCCAAAAAGTGCTAAGGATGTAAGTAATTTAAATGTTTGCTTTTATAATAATTTTTGTTTGTTTCATTCCTTGTTAAATATTCTGTTCAAGTGCTAACACAGTAAAAAATAAAGGATATACTTTAAAAAAGAATAATTTTGGAACTAATAAATTTAGGCCAGCCTTGAATATAGCCCACAAAGCTTACAATTATTTTTGTCCTGCTATATTATATAGTAGTGGCAACAAGAGACTGTATGACATTATAATTATATCTCAAGTTCAGTTTTTTATGTTTTGTTTCAGTGTTTCAAACTTAATTATGATTGACAGAATTGCTTGCTTTTAGCTGATGAGGCTGATTTAACTTATTTGGATGTTTTTAACTATTTACTTACGTTTCTAGTTTTATGATACACGTATAATACAAACCTTTTAAGACAACTCTGTTCCTCCTCATACTTGCATGTATGTTTTGTGGCATTTTTCTTATGGCAAAACTCCTTATATAGTGTGTGTTTTTTATAATCTCATACAATGATAGAAACTTTAAAGACAATTGTTTTTTTATTATTATTGTATGGACAGTAAAGTATTTAATTATGTAGACATATCTGTAACATTAAATTTTAGCAGCTGGTTCTAATTCTGAAAGTATTTTTTATTTGAAAAAAATCTTAAATTAGTATTTGTGATTTTGAAAGTAAGCTATTTTGCTGTATAAGTGTATAAAATATATCAATCATGATCAAAGGCTATACTTTAACATCATCACATTAAAAGCAAGGTCATTAAGAATTAGCATAGTTTTAAAAATCAATAATTTTAAAAATAATTAGAAAAACATTTTATTTTGAGAATGGAGTGATAAGTGTTTTTAAACAAAGTAATGTCTTTAGCTGATTAGTTCAATTAATTTTGGGCAATAAAGAAATTACTTGTTTTTTTGTCACTCATTTAAACAGTTTAACTTCAATTAGTATTGCCAAACATTGATTTATTGTTGTATTGTAACATTTTAAGTTTGGATATTTAAATATCTTAGTGATAATATTTTATGAAACTGAATTGTATAGATAAAAAATATAATCATGATGGATATAATTTGAAAACTAGGTAGCAGGAGATTTTGCAAGTGTTGCAGAATTTGTGTTCAGAAAACGATGCCCACCTGAAACATCTCCATCCATCAATTTGGAAGAAATTAACAAACATTTTGATGACATTTCTATTAATAATGTTGCTAAAAACAAAGGTGAGGAAATTTTCTAAAGGTTTGTTATTTAAGCTTGCATGAATACTGGTGATGTGTGTTCCACATGATTGGTTTGCTCTTTGCAAATGTTCTTTGTTACAGGGACTAATGTACAAAACAAAGTAAACTGGTATTAAAAAAATATAAAATAAACTAAATGTACTAGTGTAGTAAATATAGTTAAATCACAAATTACCCAGTTTGTTCATAATACATTTCTAATTTATTACATTTTTAACATGTAGATGTTTTTCTTGACGTAACATTATGCTTGTTAAATAAATAAATAGACTTATTATTAATATTCATAAAGATTTTTTCAGATTTGTTAACAAAATTATATCCACAATAAAAACGTAATTTCATTTTGTGGTAGGTTTTTCATGTTCCTTCACATGTTATTGAAATTACTTTATAAGCAGATTAAATCATATATTCTGTATTTAGCTTTTATAGAAAAAAATATGATTGTTGAACAAAGTTTTATAATGAAATGCTATTTAATCAGTGATGTTGATCTTTCCAGATTAGGGGGGGAAGGATGGTCTAATGGCAAGGTTTGGGGAAACTTGTTATATAAGTTGTAGGGCCATTGTTTGTGTACCCAGTTAGACTAGTTTACTAACGCAATTGGAAGTGTATAAGAGGAAAGTTAAAACATTTTGTAAAAGTATTGTTAGACTATTTAGTGAAGATACCAAAACTCTGTTGGCTATATTATGACTGGTGAGAACCTATCAGGTGTTGGGTGCTCACCTGCATGTCACACTTCAAAATTTAAGTAAAGTTAATACTTCTAATTCTTTCTTTCATTGCCCCTCCATCAGTGAGGATGAAGACTTGCACCTTGACAGATTTACCCTTAGCCAACCAATTTCCTTCAGTTGTCTCTTCAAAAATCCCTGTTTAACAAGTTAACCATTATGCTTATCACTTCTTCCTTCTTCATCACTTTGCCTCAACACCACCAAGATTTAATCAGGCACTGGTTAGTAGTTTATTCGGCACCTGATCAGTGAAAGTGTGTTTACTCCTATCCCCCCCCCCCCCCCACCCCTACAATAAAATCTCTAGACATTGGATTTATAGATCCCTGCTGCCCCGAAGGACCATAAATCTGATAATGGCCACTTGTTAGTAGTTAAGAAAGAGAAGATTCCACATAGGCCAAAACATACAATTTTCTGCGCATAGCCCCTCACTCCCTTAATAAGCAGGATGAAGCGGAATTCTCATTTCTCAGCATCTCTGGTTGTCTTTCAAGGTTTCTCCCAGGAGATCTCAAATCAAAACAACTGCCTTCATTTGATTGGTTGATTTGAAACCTCTTCTGTAGCCTGAGAGTTTGTCTTAGTTTTCAAAATGCTGAAATCATTTTTAAAGTTTCCAATTGTTTTGGCAGCAAACAGCAGCAAAGATTTAACATAAGGTGTTCCAGTATCCCTTTTACTATGGTATCTTTCTGCAGCAGAGCTTTGTTGAGCATATTTAGAAGCTAAATCACCTCAAGGTGTGTCACCAAGCCGAACTGTTTTGTTTTTAGTATGTTTTTCATACAGACTGTTAGCTTTACTTTAGATTCCTTACTGAATCTTGAAGCATGCTTTAACTCAAACACTGATGTCTTTGGTATTGTGAACAAAAGTACATAGAATTCAGTACTTTTGTAATGATATAATTTACTACAGCCTAGCTGATCATTGATAAATGTTTAATTTTTGGACTTTCCAACAAAATCTTTCATTGTAATCATGCCTCTACTTTACAGTGCACTAAAAGTAGTTTAAGTCTTAAAGTTTCCTTCCTCTGAATTGTAAGGTCTTGTCTATCCATATACCTTAAGCATGAAAATATTTTACACGAAACTTTTTATGATTTCTTTGCATTTGTGCCAGAAGCTGTGTAAACATTCCTATCCTGGTGGGAAGAGGTTAGATTTTTGAACACAATAGCATAAGTATGTTTTGCCTTGTGTGCTCAATATTTTTCAAATGCCCTTTTCCATTCTTGGAAATCTACAGAAAGGAATGTGTCTGCTGTGCACTTAGCTAATTCAAGAAGGTTTTTGGTTTAATGTGGGCACGTATGTAAAATCGCACATATACCTGCAGGGAAATATCATAATGTAGTCAAGTGCACTTATTAAACATCATAGAATTTCAGCGATTTGTTTTGAAAGTCTGAGTGACAGTGCTCTGTGTATCAGGCTATTTAGGAAGTTTGTGTTGTTTTGAAAGTTTATTCATGTGATCTCAGTTGAAGCTGATATGGCTTAAAGCTACAGCACCTCGCATCTGCAGTACTTAAAGTTGCAAGTGAATCAACTCTAGTGGAAGATTCTCTATAACCTGGTATATGTAGTTGTAAAAATTTTTGAATGTCTATTTGTAGGCTATTTAATATACATTGCAGTTGTGAAATCTGTACTTAGTTAATGCTAGAAAAAAAGAAATTAAAGGATATTACAACACAGGATGGCATTTAGGCTTAAGTCTATGTGTGTGTGTTTTCATTTTATCTATGTTTGCATAGCCTTAGTTAGGAACCTTATGCACTTTTTTGCAAAAAGAAAAAGCCTTTAGAAACCGACCAACATAATAATAAATCAAACTGAGATGCATTATTGGAATTGAACCATTTCAATAACAATTAATAAATTCTGCCAAAATCAGTGGAAAATTAATAACATGAAAAAAAAGGTGTGTGTGTGAAGAACAATATTTTGGGTGTCTTCTATTGGGCAAAATGAGGGAGTATATCCCCCACTCTCCAGTGATTAACATTTCTGTAATATATATGGTTTTTATCAAGCATAATTGATTATCATGCAATAAATACTATGTAGCATTGTATATAAAGCATGATGTATACTGTAAATAAGTCTAATTTTGCTTTTCAATGAGTAAAAGAAAACTGGCAGTAACCAAGTAACTTTTTTCTTTCTCTCTCTTGTCAGAGGAAATAAAGAAAACATTTCGTTTTCTAACCCATAACATATCGTCTCGAGATTTGAAGTGGTTAATTAGAATGATTCTGAAAGAAATGAAACTTGGGATTAGTGAGCAGACAGTGTTGAATACATTTCATCCTGATGCTAAAGAACTTTTTGATGTAACAAGTAGCCTTGCTAAGGTAAGTTCACCTACCATTTTGTCTATACATAATTTCAGCAATGTTATACCTGTCAGTGCTATTAAATAACCTTTGGGTGGAATGAAATGTAGGTAATTTGATCAAAAATATTTGACTAATTTTTCAATGTCAGGTTTTATTTAAATCAATCTGTTTCTTGAAAAATATTTACAGTGTCCAGTTAATTTTGTCAGTTCTTCCTGTGAATCATCTCAGTGCATGATTTGATCTGTTACAGATTTGTTTAGACTTCTATCAGCACCATTAAAATCAATAAAAGCCCAAGCTAAATGACTTACTAGCATCTCAAGTAAATTTTCACTCTTCCACATTTATCCAATAGCAAAAAATTACATAATTAAGAAAGGCACCTTTTTTTAAAATTGTACTTAAGCTCCTAAAAACATGTTTCTCATTGAAAAAATACTTCAATGCACATACTTGTCTTCAAGACCAAGGATTATAGACCAAGGATTAAAAGACTGCACGTATTGATGTAATATTATCTCAAAGATCATTCATGGGAAGGAAAGGTACATAATTTTATGTTAGTGAATAACGTATTTCATTGATGTATAATGTTTCTCTAGGTTTGTGATCGCCTGAAGGAGCCTTCATTACGTCTACATGAGATAGAAATTTCTTTATTTAGTCCTTTTCGTCCCATGTTGGCAGAAAGGGCTGATCCTAGTCAGGTCAGTGTCACAGCATAAATAGTTTAGTGTATTATTTAATTTTTTTAATACAAAAGTGTAATTTTAGCCTGATAAATATATAAGTTATAAAGTTCTCAATTTGATTTTTATTAAATGGATTTTTTGTGTAAACATGTTGTAAAATTGAAGAGCTTAACATGACATAGTAGCTAATGTTTGACTTTATATCAAATGATTACAAGTTTGTGGCATGCTATTACTGCATGTTCAGATATTGGAATGCTGTGAAAGTGACAGTTAATCCCACTGAATGGTTCAAAGATGTAGACAAAGCGTTTGTGGCAGGTGATGCTGTTGGTTGCCTTCTCTCTAGTTGATAGTTCAAAATTAGTGATTGTTATGCCTGAAACCTTAGAGTCCCTGATGTGACTGGTTAATCTACGTGTGCATAAGATACTGTTCAAGTTGAAAAATCCTATTCTTTAGCAAAATTGTAAAATTCATACTTTATGAATACATACATGTGTTTGTGTGTGTCTATATATATATATATATATATGTATGTGTGTGTGTGTGTATGTTTGTTTATG